ATAGAATATAGAATAAGCGCTGAGTGGCCCTAGGTTCTCATAGAATATAGAATAAGCGCTGAGTAGCCCTAGGCTCCCTAGGCTCCCATAGTAAATTAAGTTACGCTGGGCTGCGGTCTAAAACACCGATAGTCTTCTATTTAGACTTACTACGTACCGTAAGTACTAACCCGCTAGATTCCTAGGTTATAGACGACGTATAACTAAACTCCGTACTAGTAGAGGATAAAGAGGAATACTAGATTAAGAAGATCCTCTAGTATAGGTCCGTACGCCGCGGACGAGGTTAATAAAAATAATTCCTTATAAAGTAGGTCGGTTATACTAAACTAACGTAGGAACCTAAGTCGGCTATATAGGATACGATAGTCCTCGATATATACGAGACTTAGTAACCGAAGATATATAGATAACGAAACTCCCTAGAATATAGAAAAAGGAGGGGGAGGGGGTACTATAATAGATTAAACCTATAAGTATCTTAGTAAGAACTAGCGACGTCTAGATTCGATCGTATAGTTATACAGCCGAACGATGTTACGTAATATTAATGGATATCTTGGCGAGCGACGCTAAGACTAAACTAGCGATGCCTAGATCCGACCGTATAGTTATATAGCTAGACGATATTACGTAACGCTAATAGTTACCTAGGATACCGGGCGACCCACCCCAGGAGATTATATCTCCCTATTGGATAGCGGCAGGACTTCTTTCTCTCTTTTCTTTAGCTTAACGTCCTTGTTAGACAGGTCCTATAGTAGTTGAATAAGCTCCTATTAAAACCCTCACAATCTTAGTATTTTCGTTAAGTTACTTATACTCTTATAATTTCTTCCTAAGGATCTTATATATCTTATATAAATATACTCGATAATCTTATTATTAATATTCCCTTAAATTAATAGAACGAAGGCTCTACTAAGTAGTATACTCGATAAGTATAATTAGTATATTAAGTTACCTTTAACTATCCTAGGAAAAAATAAAAACTTATATAGAAATTCTAGATAGAGATAGGAAGATAAGTAGCTAGTATATTATTAGTAGGTAAAAAGTAGAGAGTTAACTATAAGACTTACTAAGGAAGAAAGGTCTTAAGGAATAAGAAATATAAAAAAAAAAGAAGAAGATAGATAGAATAGAAAAAGATTAATATACTCCTTACCTAAAGACTAATCGCTAAGACCTTAAAGGAGATTAAATAGCGAGTATTAAATAATTAAAAAGTCTAACCTTATAGCTATAGCTTACTATATATACTATACTAGAATATAAAAAGTACGCGAAGTTTCGCTAAGATTAAGTAAACTAAAGTAAATACGAAATAATCCCTAATAATAGGATAAGTTAGGATTAAAACTAACCCTAAGGTTAAAGAAATATATTATATTTTCTTTAATATTAATATAGAATATATATATAACGCTATACTAGAACGCTACTTTTAACCTACTACTCCTATACTCGTTCTCGAGTATACTTCGAGAGAGGAGAGTAATTATTATAGAATAAGACTACGATAGACTCTAGAAGTACCTATTCTATACTAAGACTAGTACTAAAATACTAAGGAGTATAGTATATAAGACCTTAGGGGCTATACGGATCGTATACGAGGTTTTTAGACTCCTTAAGTTCTTATAGTCGATATTCTAAGGACTATATAGTAATTACTCGATTATCTTAGTATTTTCGTTAAGTTACTTATACTCTTATAGTACTAGAGTATTTAACTAAGATAATAAAGGAAATATTTAATTATTAGACTATATCCTAAATATAGGTATAGAATTACTAACGAAGTTAACTATAAACTATTCTATCTAGGTAAAGGAGCGTATATATATAATACTAGTAGCTCTACTAGCTCTATCGGGCTCTACTAGGCTCCCTACTAAGCCCTAGAGAGCTACGCCTAGTTACGTGCCGTAGCCTCGTTCTCCATTAGCTAACTTCCCTATTTCTACTTAGGTATAGGTAGCTTGTCCTTAGCGACCCCTCTATCGACCTAGTTCGTAACACTATATATATTATATAATATATTTACTAGTACTAATACTAAGGCTACTATTTAGTATTATTAAGAATAGTCTATATAATTATAAAATAGAAAAGTTCTATAAATAGTAAAGTTAGTATATAAGCCCACAGCACTTAGGCTAAGCCTAGGGAGCCTATAGTATTAAGATTTACCCTGCAAGCTCATGATAAGCATCTATTGCAGCCTAGCGCTGTGAGCCCACGGTAGCCCAGGGCTTACTAGGCTGCCCGGGCCAAAACATAGATGCTACGCTAGATACCGGGCGTTAATTAAATGATCTATGAGGGGCTTATAGAGGTAACGCAGGAGATCTAGCGGAATTTACTATGGGGGAGATCCGCAAGAGAATACGAGATATACCTAGCAGCCAAAAGGAGTTGTGTTAGAGCATCAGACTCTGAGCTAAAATCTTTGCCCACCCGGCTGCTTTGAAGCTAGGCCCAACTTCACGCGTCCTTCAGTTTACTGCGTACTCATTCGACATGAGCATCAACGAGATATTTTCGACGCTCATTCACGGAGGATATGTGGTGTGGTCTTCTGAGTCCGACCGCATGAACAATATTAGGGACTTCATTGACAAGAATAAAGTCAAAACAGCTATTCTTACTCCGACAGAGTTGAAGATGCTTCCCACCAATGACAGTCACCTTCATAATGTCGTACTGATAGGAGAGGCCGGTACTGATCATTTGATATAACTTTGGGTTGGCAAGGTTGGCTTGAGCAATCTCTATGGGCCGGCAGAGTGTTCAGTATAGTCGGCTGGCCATCTGAGTATGACATTCGACACCCCAGCGGCTACCATTTGCAAGGGACTATGATCGAGATTGTGGATCACAGATCAGGATAGCCAGACACCAATAGGCGGCGTTAGTGAGCTGCTGATAGGAGGACCAAATCTTACACCGGGCCACTTGAATGACTCGGCCAAGGCTGCGGCGGCTTTCATTGAAGATCCAATTTAGCTACCTGAAGAATATGAAGTCGGGACAAGAAGAAGTCGCCTCTACGGAACAATAACCTGGCGCGTTATAACAACAGCGGCACAATATGTTAACTTGGTCGCAGACATCCCCCAGTCAGAATCCACAGCCAACGCCTAGAGCTTGCGGAGATCGAACATCAAATTATGGCCACTGGTCTCCCGGGGGTTCGACAAGCCGCAGTGGAGGTGATTCAGCCCGTCATTCGCACCAACACAAGCGTTGACCGCTTTTCTTCATCTCGAGATCGTGGAGAACGAGGGATCCGACTCTCTAGCCGTGCTCTAGATATCCGACGCGTTGCTAGAACGGCTATCAGATCGACAAATGTCGTTGAGTAGTGTGCTACCGCTCTGCATGGCCCCCTCTGTGTTCATACCGGTCCAACGAATGAAGACAAATTCGTCAGGGAAGCTTGATCGCCGGGAGCTAAGGCAACTAGCAGCAGGTCTAGACGAGGGCCAGTGGGCCCGATGCTCTCTCGAGGCAGCGGTGAAGCGACTCCCGTCTACCCCAAGGGAGCAGAGGCTCCAGAAGCTATGAGCGAGGTGCTAGGTGCACCTCAAGGCGTGGTTGGAGTGGATGATTCCGTTGGGACAATGCTACCGGTAGCGGCTGGCCGCGAAGAACACCTTGATGTGTCTGTTGCGACTATTTTTAGCTATCTGCAGCTGTTGTCAATGACGCAGGAGGTGAAGGAGCTGCAGGTCACAGAAACGAAGCAGGATGCACCAAAATCGTATAGCTTGATGATGAAAAAGAGGAACAGGGCTTTCCACCCTAGGGGTGCAATGATGGAGAAGCAAAGTATCACCTCTACGAGGAGTTTACAGCGTTACTTGGCTAGACGACCCAGAAAAACGTTGCCGCCGGGGGCTAAGAGACATACCTGTGCACCTTTGCGGTGTCCTGGAGTCAAGGATATAGGAACCCACTTCTGTTTTGCATTTATAGGGCTTTTCTTTAAATTTTGTTCGGACCCGGGAAGGGAAAAGTTGGGTTCGCAATTGGTTAGGCATGAATATATGTCCATTTGGCGTTGTAGAGTTAGTGAATTAAATAGACTTTCTATAGAGATAATTTGGTTCTTGTCATCGACGAGTTGAGATTGTGACTATTTCCTTAAGGAGGTAACTCTTGCTTTGTCAAGGTCGTCTTATTATCCACTGTTCAAATCTTCAGAAAGCTTTGCAAGCCACCGCAGATGCACTCTTTCACGCAGCTTGAGAAGCAGCCTCAGGATGGTGATGTTTTGCGTGCAATTTCTCTACAGGAGCGTCGACTCCGTAGTTCATAGTCTCCTTGACGCTACCCAGGCAAAGAGCAGCCACAATGCCGGCAGCACCAAATGGGGCCGCAATGATGTAGACGATCCGGAACGAGTCCGCAAAGGCTTGATTCCTTGCAATGAGGCTGGTGGCTGTGACTGCTGTTGTAACGCCCGGCACCTGTGACAGCGCTGCTGAGTCATTGGCAAGAAGTGCTTGAAGGAATGATTCAAGCGACCGCGCCGGTAGACCTGCAGAAATTGCAGCCGCTGCCACAGAGGGAGCGAGCTTCTTCTCTAGTTGGCTTCGAACTGCCGTTGCATAGATGGCTGTAAAAACCGTTGCAGAGAAAGCACGAGTCGAAGTCAATACCGCTGTTGCCGTCGCGATCAGGTGATGAGGCGTGCTAAGTTGCACCGCTGCGACGATGAGGATGAGAATAGCGCCGAAACCGAAACCTGTCATGCAGGCAAACGCAACAGCGTTGGCGGGCTGGCCTGGTTGAATAGTGGCGAAACCAATCACACCTCCCATGATGATGAAGAATCCTACCACCAATAGCTCACGAATCGTCCGAAAACGCGTGCTACCGTAGCCGAACACGACGCTACCGAATGCACATGCAATCCAGAAACCCTCTAAGCGAGCAATAACGCACATGATATCCGTGGTGAAGAGCGCCGTTGTACTTGGAAAGGCCGTCAGTCATACTTAGTCTTCCGACGGAATGGGGAACTTAGGATATTTGCACTCACAGCGCGGGATAAATGAGGATGTATGAGAATCCTAAGATGGCCTCCACACCCATCAATAAAATGCAGAGTGCAACAATTCGGCCATTGGTCTGTGGTCCGACAAACAGGTCGTGATGGAAAATGCCGGTCCTCGTACCAAACGTCTCATACAATCCAAAGCACGCGAGAAGAACACCTCCAACTATGAGAGGCGCCAAAACTCTGGCATTGGTCCACGAATAGATCCCGCCGCCTTGACAGAGACCAGCCAAGAAAAGTGTTAGGCCGCTACAAAAGAGGCCCGTCCCAGGAATATCGAGACGAGCAAGCTTCTGCGAGAACGAGAGATGATCCAAAGCTGTATGCCTTGGGGGTGGTCGGTACCCAGCAAGAATACCGAGAGCAGTGATTCCCCAAACACCCATCTGGAACCACTATGGAGGAGGTTAGTCTCTGTCAATCAGCAGCGATTCGGGGAGTGGTTGCCTACGTAGAAGTTTCTCCACCCATCTAAGCGATCCTTGGCCGTGAAAGCTCCAATGACAGCTGGTCCAAGTACAGCTCCAATGCAGGCGGCAACATTCATAGCAGCTTGTGTAGCTGGAAACAGTTGTCAGCAGAAGGTCAATTCACTCAAAACATGCGCTATCTGACCTGGCCTCCATCTTCGGGGGAGAATTTCACTCGGTACACAATAAGAAAGAGGTACGGCGGCAAAACCCACACCTATCAGGGCCTGAGCCGCAATAAGCCGATAGACGTTGGTGGACCCAGGTGCAATGGCGGAGCCTATGAAGGATATGGTACATGTGCCGACCAATAGGCTCTTCCGCACTTGGAAAGTATCAGAGGCGGACGATATAATGGGGCCTAGCACTGCTTGCACAACGCTGAGGGCGGTGGGAATCCAGGTTTGAGTTGGGCCAGCGTCAAAGGACGTTCCGATGTAGTCAAGCTGTTGAACACCGTCTTAGCTAGCCCGCCTATCCTTCGGAATTGGGAACGAACTTACCACTGCGGGCGGTCCCTGCAGGGCGATTAGTTGTACGAGATTGAGCAAGAACATGGAAGCTAGGGCTATCCAGGTCCGCATATGCAGTTCTGGTACTTCTTCAACATCATCATACACGAGATTTGTGGATTGCTCGATCTCTTCTACCTCAAAATTATCTTGCTCCGTCTTTGAAGTGGCACCACCACTAGCCGCAGGGTTTTTGCGTTGAGCCATGTTCATTTAACCAAGTAAGTCTGCCCGGAATGTATTTTATGCGCTAGGTCAGCTAGTTCTATAACCGGAATTGAATCTGAAGAATAAGCGAGAGTGACATCTCTCCAGGAAGTACTCTTCGTGGATCAGTTCTCCTGACCGGTGGTTTGTATATCAAAATCCCCAACCCTTGCTATTCCTTCGTCACCGGCCCCTCCGGGTCAACCGGGTGGGCAAGTCTTAGCGGGAATAACACAATTTGTATTGAAGAGACTTCGAACTACTCCTACGAGATTTGCAGACAGGCTAATCAACATAGAGGCAATCTGTCAACCAAGCAGCTTTTAGATATCACACCTTAGGAAGAGCGCGGTCATTGAGCCTTCACAGCCTTGATCAAAACTGGTCTCAGTCATGAATCCATGCTTGTGGAGGAAAGGAAGAAAGCTTACCCAGGCATGTGTGTGGGAGGCGAGAATTTCAGATGCACGCTCGACCCGATCGCTCGCGCAGCCCCGTGTGAATGCCCTGCCCTTGGAAGTGCACTAACGGTCGATTATTGCTTAACAAATCCCCTCTCGGACAAAAAGTCTCTGCAACTGCGACCAAGATTGTACAGGGATGGAAAAATAGGGGAAAGCGAGGAATGACTGGCGCCGAGAACGAGGCTGGCCCCTCAGGAAGATCCGGGCTTCGCGCCCCTCCGGCCCCTCCGGCGATTTCCTCACATACCAGAACGGCTAGTGAACACAGCTGTGAGGCCCCAACCCTGTTTCGAGACGATAGTTCAAGGCCGAGGCTTTCTCGGTCTTTCCCGGTGTTAGACAGCAATGTCCCCTGTCATCTAGTTCTTATCCGCGTAGATTGTCTCCAGGGGTAGGAGCCCCGCGGTATCAGGCAAAGAAAATGGCTGCTTCATGTTTTGTGTAGCGGAAGTTCTGTCAATCTACTATACCAGGCGAGTCTCAGGTGGCCTAGAGGTCTAACTTACAACACAATGAATATGGGGGCTCAATTATGTAGATAGTTCAAACCCCTCTACCTTGAGCCACCCTAGTGGTCCCTTATCATCAAACTCCCTGGCGGTTCAACTTCAATCTTAAACTATGGATGGTGAGCTCTAGAAGCGAATAACAATTTGAAAACCATTTATCATCATTCGATGATCTCTTTTTGCCCTTTAGTCATTGATAGCATGCTGTTGGTGAGAGACATGTTCGGCGCTTGGCAAGGCTATTGAGCACAAGGTACCTTACAGTACCTCTAGAGCAACCTGGGTGCCTGCTGTGGCAAATAAGCATTAACTAAGCTTTCCTAGACCCCGGGTAGCCAAGCTTAATTTTGGCCAAGTCATGTGATGCGGCGTATTCGCTGGGTGTTTCCTGCTACGGGCACTTCCCTCCCGCCGCGTACATGGTGATGGGTGCTGACGTATCCAAGGTAGGTATGAAACACCTCGACTCCCATTGTCTTGCAACGACCAACATGTGGCATATAATGGAACCGGGTCTTGAAGACGACCTTGTGTCCGCTTATAAAACTCTCTTACCACTCTGTGTACACACAGCCGCAGTTCGAGCATCATGGCCCTCAAATACAGTAATCTAGTCCGGCTGGCGCCCCTCCAAGTGGGCGACCTCCCTGCACATCCTATTCTACCTCTGTCGGAGGGTCCGCGACCCGAAGTCGCTGTCTTCTTGCGCTCGCTACTTGATGACGGGTGTGCGTTTCTCTCGCCCAGTTCGTTCTCTCGAAATTTCTCCCACGTCTCCACCAAATCTGTTGCCGATTCTGCCGCACCTATCGAGGTCCTGACATATTCCATCCCGTCCTCGGAAATAGCAAAGATCTCCTGGTCGGAAGGCCAGGCTGTTGCAAGGAGCAAGCCTCGCGCGGCTGGTGTCGAGAACTGGATTGCGAGGAAGAGTCTACATCAGGACATTTCCGGCAGGAGCGCGGAGAAACCAGGGCATGCGAGCTGGAGGGAGTTTGTGTTCGGACTGCGAGATGAGCACAGTGTACACGAGTCAAACTTCACGCCGTCGCTGTATGACGCCAGGCATATACTGGACTGGAACGATGAGATAAAGGCTCTATCCACGCGGGGAGAGATCGGCACGTACAAAGAGCCGACCATGGCGATATACGAGATGTGCCACATCCTTCCTGGGCCTTTGTCACCTAGGTGTTTTCCTGTTATAGTAGCAACGGCGAGTGTGGACGATAACTGCTTTGTTGCCGTTACCATCCCAGTCAACCTGGGCTCGGGGGTCGACGAGGCATATTACACTGCCAATCAAAATGTCAAGGATAGTGCAACCTCGCAAGAGAGGAAACAAGTTGTTGTCGGTGTCTACGCTGCGGTTGAGCTTGTCAGTAGGAACCCTAAAAAAAGCGAAATCGAGTGGATAATGGCCACGGCAAGTGACGCGAAGGGGAATCTTCCAAGTTGGATTCAAAAATTTGGAGTGCCTGGCCAGATAGTCAAAGACGTCGGCTATTTTTTGAAATGGATTCGGACTATTGCTGAAGAAGACATCCCAATGCATGTCTAGACTAGGTATCCGCATGCTATGCGTACGCTGTCGGAAATCTATTCCTTCGGCCCCTCATTTAATCAAAGCAAATTCACCTCCCTCCTCGTAAATTGCAATACCGGGCCTGATCGGTCAGCAACAAAGTGATCGAACAACTGATATTCGTCCTCCCGCCCTCTACCTTGGCCCATGCCCGGGCCACCTCTGCCACTTCTCTCCTCTCCCGAAGTCCGCATATCGAACAGCCAAATCATCCTTGCAAGAGCAATAGACAACTCCATATAAGCCATATTTTTGCCCACACAGACTCTCGGACCAGATGAGAAAGCCCAAAAAGATTCCTTGGCGAGGTTCACGGTCTCCTGGGTGACTGTGATGGGGAGGGACGGCTCATTGTCGCTGGAGCCCACGATCCATCGCTCGGGGATATATGAGTATGGCTTCTGGAATAGGTTCTCGTTGTGGTGGAGGGCGTAGGCGCTGATGCCGACGACGATGCCCGCTGGGTATGCTGTTTTTTCGATGGTGGCCCCTCCTGGCAAGATGCGCCGAGCCAGAATCCCCGGAACGGGTGGACACACGCGTAACGTTTCGTCGATGCAGGCGCGCAGATATGGAAGTCCAGCTAACTTGGCCGTGTATTGGATTTCCTCCACGTCGTCAAACGCAGAGCGGATCTCCTGCTGCAGTTTCTTGTACACTCGCTCGTTGTGCATCATGTAGAATAATAACGCCGCGATTGTTGTGGCGGAGGTGTCGCTGCCGGCGCCGACGAGCAAGGCCGCTTCACCTACGAGATCCGCGGGTAGGAACTTGTGGCCTGTTTCTGGGTCCTCGGCGTTCAGCAGAAAGTGGAAGAAGTCTTTCCTCTGCTCCTCGGCAGGCTTCTCGGCGTTGGCCTGTTCAACGGCATTTCGCTTCGTGACGAGCTGGGCCATCTCTTGGCGGTATCGGATTCTCTTTCTCGTGGTCTCGCCGCCTATCAGTTTAGCCAGGGATGGCCATTTGAAGATGGGATAGAGATATTCACGGATGGGGAGTGTAGATAGCTGTGGACGTCACATTGTCAGCGTAGTTCAACCACGACATAGATAGTGTCACACAGGGAAAATTCCAGGAACCACATACCACCAGGATCATAGTCGAGCTGCCCATCAGCAATTCCGAGATGTAACTGTGCCCTTGTTTTATGGCGCCGAAGCTAGCACCGAAGCAGAGCTCTCCAAGAGTATCGAGAGTCAGCAGCGTCGCCCAAGTCGCCATGTCTCTTTCTCCGCTCCAACCTCCAGTGGCCTTTTCTCCGCCATTTGCAGCAGCCTCGGTCGCAGGGGGTTCTTGTAGGTAGTCGCACCAAGTACGAACAGTTTGCAGGACGTACTTCTCCAGGGATTTCAACGCACTGGCGGAGAATGCCTGATTCAACAGCTTCCTCCGAGCAGCATGGAGATTGCGATCCGACATGATTTGAGTGGTGAGTGAAGGGCTGATTATGCACGACGTCTCGGTCCAGCCGGTCTTGATGATGTTGGCTTTGCGATCGGTGTAGATATCGTGTACGGCACCAGGAGTCCGGAATGCGAGTGAATTAGGTGCATATCGTACAACGTCACCTTTGCTCTATATTCAGCTTCAATTCGTATGGGCTGCAACAAGGCTTCTCTCAGCCTAGAGATTACTTACCATATTTCTCATGCATAGCATGAATATCGAGGTGTCTTCGGCCTCGCCAGGAAGATCTTGCCTCGTGCCATTCCGTCAACTTGGCCCAGAACGGGCCAGGATATTTGGCTAGAGGGTGGAAGTAGAGTCTGTAGATCGCCACTCCGATTATCTGTAATAGGATATGAGCACTAAGTCAGGATTCCCGGGGAGTATCAACACTTACATAAACAATAGCGGTGGCCGCGAAAGAGGGAAAGACCAATCTCAACAGTTGGATGGCCATCATGTGCCAGAGAAACCGTGGCACTACCAAGTAGATCAATCGAAGCGGAAAGAGTGAATGCTGAGCACGACCATTCTAAGCAGGGCTGAAAGAAGGGGTCTTGGTGCTGGATTTATAGTGGTACGGTGTAACCCGGATGGTCATCTTTGGGACTTTTGGTTGCTGATGCCTGGGGATGTTAGTGACGAACATGGACGGACCGTTGGTGTGGGTTAGGGTACCATTTTTGTGGTACAGAGTTCATGACTATCTCTGTGCAACGTATCCGGTCCAATTGACAGGGCTGGAATTTTACCTGAAACCTCGGGGCTCATCTTCCGGTAGCAACGGTCACAAGTGTTCGGAGTTCCCTTGGACTCGAGAGCATGGCCATATTCCAAAAAGACTTTCGAGATGATACAGAAGGACTGAGCGATCGGCAAATTTGCTTTCAAGAATACGAGGTATGGACGGGCGCGTCGTCACTCGGGGACTCGGCGTGCTGTTCCAGAAAGTTAGGAGGTTAGCTGATAGCTGAATGGAGGCTCCGATCCCGAGTACCCGCCATTTTATCACAATAAGAATACGCTGGCTACGCTTACTGTGGGGCAAACGGCCTATGTCCTCGGGCTCTGAACTCACACCGTGTGAGAGTGGTGGTGCTCAGACAATGCTGTGCTTGATATGGCGAAATATAGCGCTAACCCGAAGGTTAACCGGCCACAGGTACTCAGGTTCGTATATTTTATGTAAGTCGTTTTCAAAGTCAGCACCTTAATTTCGGCTTATCTAAGCATGGGCAGCGCCGAAAACAACAATATCAGACGACTTGTGGTATGGGGTCCTCAAAGCTGGAAAGTGGCGGAAATATGGCATTCTTCGTGTCCATTCAGTGAGATGCCTGGGAAAGATCTTCTGTCAAAAGATTGGATGGATGCTGCTGCGGATCGCAAATACGTTTCAGGCCTCAGCGCCGTCAAGCAAGATGCATGGCAATCATCTCCTCCTAGAGCTGAAGTAAATTGCCAGGGTGGTGAACCACACTGAGAGCACAGGAGGTGAGATGTCGCCAGGAAATGGTGGTCTTGGGGAGAACTGGTTTCTGACACGCTGCTTTCATCCTGGAGGACCCATCCATACAGGGTGTTGGTGTGCTTATGTCAGGGCTGACTTGATCTACCTATCGAGGTATACGTGGCACGAGGACCTCCAAGTATGTGTGTACCTTTTCTAATTACCGAGATAGCCTACTAGCGATAAGGACGCAGCAGCCGGTAGGTTTGCCCTGCATAAGACTTCGCAAAACCGGGTAGAATCGCCACCAGAAGAGAACAAGCACAGCTTCAATACCCATTCAAGCAGCGAACTGTTGCTCAGTCGATGTATGCTCTCCGCCGGGCATCCGCGAACACGTAAATATCTGGCATAGCGCTAATCACAACGGATGGAAAACTTTGCAAAATTCAAGTTGCTTGGTCGCATTCGAATACATACGTGGAAAAACCAAGGTCAATATTAGAAACTAGGCCCTCCCCGCTGGGACGGAGGTGTCATTTCAACTTGGAACGAATTATAGTCAAAAAGCTGTAGCCTTTTGGAGAGGCGCTATGGTTTTGTTCCGTACCATCACAATACAGGCAGGTGAACCGAACACAAAGCGACCAGACCGAATCTGGAAGCTTTGCCGGACGTCCAAAGTCATGACGACGTCATCAACCGAATTCGGGCGATTCGCTTCCCCAAATCCATCGGGTTTGTTCATGGGAATTACCCCAAACCCACATCACTCTTTCGGCGCACGTCAAGGGTTGCCGGCGATGGAACTTTGCCTTCAGGTCTGCGCATTCACATGCATTGTCGAAGATGGTTGAACTCGGCTGCGGGCCTATCTACCTGAACTAAGACATATACATTTGGTTTATTTTCCGTATTGACTCTACACCCACCTGTTTGGATACTGCTGTACTAAAACTAGATCCTTGCTGCATTCTTTGAACGACCTGTATACCCCTTACACCCACTTTGCCTGTCCACCAGCATAGACAAGATGGATTTGACACAGGTTTCTGGCATAGGATTCGTTGGACTAGGGGCCATGGGGCTTCCTATGGCCGGACATCTTGCAAATAAATTGCCAGGGCACATTCGGCTCTTTGTGTACGATATTAACCAGCTGAGCGTTGATCGGCTGCATAACGACTACCCCGAGCGCGTGGTGAAGGTATCAAGCGCAAAGGACGCGGCAGACAAATCAGTAAGTATCCGTGTCTGGTGATGACACGTGTTGGGGCCGCAATTGGCAGCTAACAACTCCGCCTGCAGCAAATAGTCCTCACGATGCTACCCGAAGGAAAACACGTCCGATCTGTATACATGGGAAGCGGCTCAGAGACGATCTGCTCCAGCGACGTGTCCGGAAAGCTTCTGATAGACTGCTCGACGATCGACACCGCCAGCAGCCTGGCAGTCAAGGATTATATCAACGAGCACTTCCCTACGGCGTCCTTCTACGATGCACCTGTCAGCGGGGGAGTGGTGGGGGCTCAGAAAGGAACGATAGCGATTTTCCTCGGCTGTGACGGCAGCGATCCCAACCTCCCTCACCTGACGAAGCTGTTGCAGTTTATGGGCAAAGACGTGATCCCATGCGGAGGGCCGTCCAAGGGGTTGGCAGCCAAACTGTCGAATAACTACTTGTCTGGGGTCATCGCCATCGCCGTCTCAGAAGCCATGGATATGGGAATGCGCTCTGGGCTGGATCCACGAGTCCTGGCAAAAGTCTACGCAGCGGGCACAGCCCAGAACACCATCTGCGATCGGTTCTGTCCTGTGCCAGGAGTCTATCCAGAGGCACCGTCGTCAAAAGGATACACCAACGGGTTCAAAGTGCAGCTGATGCGCAAGGATTTTGCGCTCGCGCTAGAAATGGCCAAGCGAGTCGGCTCGCAGAATGTCCTGGGTGAAGCGGGACTGGCGACTTACGACGGTGCCAGCAAGGATCCTAGATGCATGGATCTGGATTCCAGAGTCGTCTATCGATACCTGGGCGGTAACGAGGATTGGTTGAAGGATGCTGACGAGGCTACGGCTAGTCAATTAAACGGCCGTTAGACGTGGCTCTCTTGTTGTTGCGTGTCTAGATTTAGATTTTCAAATGGCAGTAACAGTTGGATACTTGGGACTAAATTTGACTTTCCTATCTATCTCTCAGCGATCTATGTATGCCCTTGGTCGGTACTATTCCTGGATTGAGTATTCGTTTGCCGGATTACCGGGTCCTCCTCGCGGCTTGGTATATCCAGGCTTCGAGTCGGTAGGAACCACTGTCGGCATTCTGCAACACCATCCGCTAAGTTACGGTAAAGGTATTCATCGTACTCGGCTATTCAGAATACAATATTCTGACTCAACCGAACGCCGCACACTGCGCGTAAGGTGCCCTATTGTATATACTCCCTAATTCCTCCAGTAATCACCCACTCGCTGAAAAGATAATTATCGTCCCCTCCCCATGAGTTCCGTGCCCCACCAAGAATTGGAGGCTCAACACATTTTTACTCCACATTTTTGGAGTAACGAATATCATCCCGCCAACGGCCTTCTCCGATTTGCGGAACCAAGCATGGTGAAAGTTCGGAGGGGAGGGGGAAACGAGTGTTTGTTGTTCCAAGCAGGAGGAGGAGCGGGGGAGAACTGAATTGGGCATCGAAAAGGTTCGACTGGGTAATGAAAAAGCGACGGAGGGTCCCTTCCCCCCGCGAAGTTTTCGTTCCAAAGAGTGGAAACTGGAAGGATTGAATAAATCTTGAAATTGGGGAAATACCTTCGATATACTACAGTAGCAACCAGATATATCTCCTTCTCTCCCTAACATCTCGCCCCCCTAGAGAAAAAGCCCATTACATTGCACACGGACGGAGAAATCAGCGACCGTCGAACCCCAAAAGAACATTTCCTGACAGGAGACGGAGCTAAGGGACATCAAGAACAGAATACCAACGTAACGCAATACCCAGGGCCCCAAACGAGACAAGAAGAGCAGAAATGGCATCGTCATCCTCCCCGTCAACCGACCTCTCGCAGGTCAAGTCCGCGGTGGACCCGGCGCTGCGGCCGGCGCACGAAGCGCTCTTCAACGCGGGCCTCGCGGTGCGCCGCGCCGTGGTAGGCGACGCATACGTGGACCGGGCGCTGGAGAACGGGTCGAGCGAGTTCTCGCGTGCGGGCCAGGAGCTCGTGACGGAGTGGTGCTGGGGGTACGCGTGGACGCGGCCGGGACTGGCGCGCCGCGACCGCTCGCTGCTGAACATCGGGATGCTGATGGCGCTGAACCGAGCGCCGGAGCTCGCGGTGCATGTGCGTGGCGCGAGGAACAACGGGCTGAGCGAGACGGAGATCCGTGAGGCGATCCTCCATGCGACGACGTATTGTGGCGTGCCGGCGGGCGTGGATGCCATGAAGGTCGCCGAGAAGGTCCTCAATGAGATGGCGGAGAAGGATGGCGTGCCCAGGGAGTTGGGCAGTAGGAGTAAGGATGCTTAGACCGAGCGACGGTGTGACGGAGTGAGACAGGGAGAGATACAGAGATAGAGACGGGGCAAGGGAGAGCACCAATGCTACCCTGCGTGTATGTATGCAGAGCGCCGGGAGCAGCAGGAAGCGATGGCGAGATACTGGGTTTGATTGCACAGATGACTGGCCACTATGACCGAGAGCTTCATCTTTGATGCTATTGGCTATTGAAGGCTTCATATGCGTGTACGTATCTTTGCCCCAAATAAAAATTAAAAAACACACATCAATCCAACCAACAGCCCGGAAAATCCACAATGGTACAACTTCCCTTTCACCATCAATTCAATTTCAATTTTGCAGTCCAATTTACTTTTCTTCGTCGCTGATTTTCGCCCATACGCTAAACATGCAGCAAATTCATGAGACCACGTCACAAAGGACGTTGGTTCTTTTGTTCTCACCCGCGTTGTAGCATGATCCGAGATAGATTCAAGGACTAAACCGCATCACCGGCGTTAGCTGAGTGGAAGGACCGTTCTTGCTTTGGCTCATTATGTTGTTGCTCTTGCTTTTGGGCAGCTTGCCTTGCAGCCTCGGTACTTTCGATCTGAGCCACAGCCCGGTCAATCTCGACGCTCATTGCACTGGTGGTTGCCTTGGATCGCAATGCCCGGCGGATATCGGCGACAGATCTTTGGCCCCAGCTAGCATAGCCGCCATCGCTGAGCGGGTACAGAACTTTGTTAGCCTCGGATTCAATAAATCTCTGAGTGCTTGGAGGAGGAAGCGATGTCAGCACATCGATATCGGCTGCGAGTTCGCGGCAGTAGCTGTCCAATGGGAGATCGTTGACATCGGTGCCAAACGGATTTTCAATCTCGTATCCAATAGCAGCCAGGCCAAGAACGATGTATGCACCGAGCATAGTGCCGAAGATGGTGACCCACTCGAGGTTCTTGAGCAGTTGGAAGGGGAGCACCAAGATATACGCCCAGGTGATTTGACTGATAGAAATGGAGTAGGCTAGGGGGACAGGTGTGTTGAGAATTCTTTCAGTGCCGCTCAAGATGTCGCCGAAGGCCGCGAGAGCGTTCATGACTTGAGTTTGGTGGGCCCCAGTCTTGAGTTGTCCGTTTTGAATGGTTTCCTCGACGTAGGCGGACAGGTAACCGAGAGTCTCGAGCGGGATATTGCCCAAGTTATCTTTGCTCTGTTTAATAATCTTGCGCGGGTTCGACAGTCCCAATGGGATATCAAGGTACTCCGAAGCGGCTTTCCATGACGAGGGTTCCCTTGGTTTCAGGGCAGATTGATCAGCTTCTTGGGCGAGGGTACGAATGCTCCCAATCAGCGGTGCCAGATCGGGGTAATTCGCCGCAGGTTCAAATCGAAGTCGGTGTTTCAGCGAAACAGCAAAGGCATTGATGAGGTTCATAGCCGTCAACTTGGCAAGGACATCAGCCTTACCCAGGGCTCGGTCCTCTTCATGTCTTTCTGGGATATGGATCCAAATAAGCCGGGCCAGATTGCGGCCAGTCATATGCAACTGAGACCAGTACTTCCTTCCTTCGCTATACCTTTCGTAGGCGGTGGTAGAACGAAACGACAGGGCTAAACCGACCACGAAACCAGTGACGGTGAGGAGGACTGGGTTGATGCCAATAGGATGGTACAGGCGATCGATACAGGTGATTGCGGTTGCATAGATGGCGACGAATGAGAGGGGAACTATGAGTTTGGGCACAACACTGCCGTGTAGTCGAAGAAAATAAGGCACCTTGGAATGGTGATACATGTCTCGTGGACCTTTGAAGAAGTCATCGAGCTCCATGGAGGTATGTGTTTTCTGTCTCAGAGGAATCGGAGTAAACGATCGGTCACGGTTTGGCGAGTCGGGATCATGGGTATTAGAGCCACTAGAAGAGGCAAAGTCGGTGACCTCGTGGTTCATATTTTTGTCTGAATCCATCACTGGATGTGGGCGCACGAGTGATGGGAGAAGTGATACTGTTCCAAGGTCGTTGTTGCGTCTGCAGAAAACAAGACGAGGGAGAATGAAAGATCAGACCAGGCAGTCTGACAAACGAAGGTGATCAACACCTGAGTGCTATACGGATGTAAAACAGAGAAAACGATGAAAAAAATGAAGAACCCAAGCAAAAGGAGGACACCGAGAGCTAAAATGGAGATTTGTCTGTAAATTTGTCGAAACGTGAGGACATGGGTTATGTTCAGGTCAGCAAGCAAACAGCAGACGTTCCAAGAGTTCTAGACCTCCCCAGGGGATACCCACAGCCGTTAGTGCCATTACCAAGTGGTATGGAGTCCTCGTAGGTAAGCAAGGAGATCCTTCTGGGGGCTATTTCTGGCAATGGGACGGCGGCATTGGCAAAACTCTTTCTCTCAAGAGTCAAGAACCAGTGCAAACCTGAAGGCTGAAAAGCAACGAATGAGGCGGTAGCGAATCCTTCGAGATTCTTAATCAAGGGATGAGGGATGAGGCCCAGGCTGGAGGCCGAGCAGATTGCCAGGAGAGTTGCAGAGCGCGCCCCAACAGCAGTTTTGGATATGCATATGGCTTGCGTGGGAGCCCACTGCGAAATTTCTCACTGGATGGGATAGAAAAGAAGAGGTGATGAAATGAGAGATGGTGAGAGTTGGGACGATGAACAGGCCATGCAGCTGAAACAAGGAGTCGGCTAAGCCTTCAGCTTGTCCGTCGGCTGGTCGGGGGAAGGGCGCCAAGGGGAAAGTCTACCCGTGGAAGGATCAACTTGGCAATCCTTGGCCCAGGGGCACTTGAGGGCTTGACAATCAAGCCAATTTGAAGGGGTCCCCCGGAAGCCACCATACGAGTAGGCACCAGCCACCAGCTACCAGCGGCCAGCGGCCAGCGCACAGCCATCCAGAGGCACCTGAGCACGAAATTACCGCCCTTGGGGCTCTCCGCATGGGTGACCCGCCTAGAAAAAGGACGAGGAGGCGACGGCAAGGCCCAGGCTCGGTCAACCCCTACCCGTACGAGTGCTGTGCGTACACCCAGACTGTGGTCTCAGACCTGAATCCAAGAAATCTTACCCGCCAGGACGAGTGCGGGACCTGCTCACCGGTTCCCTCAGTACGCATCACCCAGGCACCTAAAGACGTAAGCGTACGAGTACGGACTGACTGTAAATGCCAATCTGCACCTGCTCGTACAGTATCTGTACGGAGGGAGTATCTGGACTCACAACACAGTCCTCACACTATCCTATATCCATCCTTCCAATTGGTTATTCTTTACTCCTCCCAATAGTGCTCGAATTCGAATGCAAACTACTTCAAACTGGATGCGAATCTCACATTGCCTCACAACTCGTACTCTTGAGGTGACCAAGTTTGGGCTTCCAACTCATCCGTCTTATATCAGGTACGAGTAATACCACTTACGAGGTACTTCGGTGTACAGGCCTCCTTGCAGTGAGCCATGCATACGAGTAAGGCATAGTCTATACGGTGATATACGATATATGAGACTCCCTAAGCAGACTCAGATTCTATTGATTGATTTTTGGATCCTTCTACTCCACTATGCAATAGCTTGGTCGAATCTTAGCAAAAACGCAGAATCAGCAATTATTCCGGTGGTCAAACTGCACCAGAACATCCCTGCACAGTGGAGCAGAGAAGTCGGAGAAACAGAAAGAACGGTATTAAGCATTAAGCATTCCAACCAGGCAGCAAACAACAAACACCCCAAATCGTTCTTGCTCAGTTATTCTCGCTTTCAGTCTCTTGACAAGATCCACAGAGACAATTTTGAACTGTAGCATTTTGCCTCGAAAGTCCCATGTCGGTAAGCCTGTTGAGGAGGCTCCGCTGGCTCTGCCGTTATCCTCCAGTGGTGGCGGCGTAAGCATGCCTGCATTGCACCATGACAGTTTATGGTGGTAGGTAAGAGCCTGCACATTTGCTGACACCATCTCGCGTGTGACTTGGCCTGTTGCTGGGCCCGTTGGGCGCTGGTTCTCAATGCACGTTGTTGGTAAATGGTTCGCCGGACTCATCAGGCATCTATCCATCTATCCCACCACCTGCGCAGCTAACCCAGGTTCCTGAGGCATGAGATGAGGGACCCGACTAATGCGGAAGACCAAGTCGTCCGTACCGAGGACTGGCTGGCTGACACAACCTACCCGAAATTCGTCCTCAAATTGTGGCGCACAGAGTTTCCGTCTTACCCTACGAGTAATGGATTGCCTACCCAGTTGGCAATAGCACTTCGTACCTGCCGACAGTATGTTTTGACTGTGTGACCTGGACACGGTTGGCCAACTTCTCGTCACAATTTCCAATTCACTAGCAATGAGCAATATGAACGTGAGTTGCGTGTACACAAACATCAAGATCAACCACGATCCGTACCGCTCTGCGCAGGTGGTGTCAAAAAGTGTACTCCGTACCCATGAGCATGGTACCATGCTGCGTTTGGGCTTACAGCCATCGGCCCGTTGTGGTGCCTCATAAAAACCAGTTGCCCGAAACAGCATCACGACTCCGGTTCCATCCTGTGGCCTGTGCCACAGACCAATAATCATGTTGGAAGATGCTAAGAAGTAACTTATTCAGCCTCCTGGGTACAGTCTCCCCAAGTTTGGCTTGGATAACCTCTCCCTGGAAATCGGCAGCCACAATTGGTGGTATTGGCCAGCGACGATTCAGTGCTCCATCCCCGTCATACTAATCGCCAAATAGCCAAACCTTGTCTTCCCGTGGGATCTAGCTAACATTCCTCCACGCCATCGGGCTTTCTCCAGCTTCGGTAAATTCAATAAGGGGTTGACCTCCAGCTGCCAGTCGAATGGGGTCCAGTCCCTATATTGTCAACTTGCTAGGCTGACATCTTTGCCTTGATGCGCTTTGTCCGCTTCTCTATCAATTTGTCCATGCCTGCGAGGGAACAATGTTGTCATTATCGCCCGTGCGACAGAATTTTCTGATAGTTGCAGCCTTGCTTTCCTGTGTCCTCCTATACACATCCCTGCGACCACCTTCGCCTGAGGCGGACGATGTCTTCTACCAGGAGACAACGGTCACCACAAATCGCCCACATCGACACCATCATCCCTCCTTTGCTAAGGATAAATTGTTGCAGAACATTCATAACGACACCTTGGGTTTCCAAGAGTTATACATGATCTCACTTCCTACGAGGACAGATAAACGAGATACCTTCGCTATGCAGGCCGCTCTTTCGTCCATCAGGTATACACAAATCGATGGCGTAGACGGACAAATGGTTCCACCGAAAGCCCTGCCCCACGTGAGTTGGACCTAGCTGCGCCGTCAAGCTTATCAGGACCCTGCTAACATGGATCAAATCCCAGACCATGAACCAAAAGGTCAATACCATTGGCTGCTGGCGAGCTCACCTAAATGTGCTTCAGAAAATTGTCCACGAAAATGTTGCCACTGCCTTGATATTCGAAGACGATGCCGACTGGGATGTATCGTTCAAACATCAAATGGTCCAATTTGCAAGAGGCACCCGCTACATATCAAATACAACCCACGTCGAGACCGCATCTTCGCCTTATGGGGACAACTGGGATATTCTATGGATGGGCCATTGCGGCACTTGGTATCATGAGGAGGACAATCGACGCATGTTTGTTATTCCCAACGACCCGACGGTCGAGCCGCCAACCCATCGTGAAAATGTCGACCAACCAGATATGTCCCACTGGGAGGGGGGCCCCGAAGGCGACGGCCAGACTCGAGTTGTCTTCAACTCCAAGGGAGCCATTTGCACAGCCGCATATGCCATTTCACAACAGGGCGCAAGGAAGGCCCTTTATCATGTAAGTCTTGCTTATTTCTGTGCTCGACCATCCCTCTTCATTTTACTCTTCCGAATCGATCCTTTGGGCTTGTTGTTTGGGGTATATGATCGGGAATACTAACTACTCTTAGATGTCTATGATGCCGTATAATAGCCCGGTAGATTGGGGCTACGCCAACATGTGTATGGATAAAAATGTCAATTACACGTGTATCTCTGTGTTCCCGCAGATCGTGGGAGTTTCACGACCTACGGGCCATACGAGTAAGAATAGCGATATTGGTTACGGCGACGACGATGTAAGGACAGTTGAGCCGGCCAGATCCCAACACGTCGTTTACTCTACGAGGTTGAATATGGAAAGACTTCTCCGTGGCGACACAGTTTTCGACAGCCAATTCCCAGAGATCACTGGACCAGAAATGCATATTGACGACATTGGGAGTGCCGTTGGTCACATCGAGGTTCTGCGCGAGGAAGATCTACCAAAACCGAATGTGACAAAGGAAGACCAAGACCAAGAACAAGAACTGTTTGGATGAGAAGTCCTTGAGGTCATTATGATAAACTAGGGCAAGTATGAGGCCATGTTCCGACACGGCCACCGGCAAGGCCTCAAGTCCTACGCTCTCCTATCTTTTGGTACTGGAGAACCAGCCGCTTGACTTGTGGCTAGAACGTCGATGCCCGCCTATTCATCCAGCACAAATGATTCACATCATGGACTCCCGACCACGTGCAGGACCACCTACAGTACAGGTTCACTCTTGCACTCTCAGTGGTGTGCGTCAGTCCGAACGGAATTGATCGATTGTATGCAATCACCCAGCCTGGAAGAACGTTGGGCCGTTTGAAGCGGTGAGTGCTCGGATAAGAGAATGATTGGCTTGCTTCGAGTCTAGATACACTTGTAAGTGTGCAGGGATTTGAATCATCTTTCAAGAGACGGGCATTCAGGAAGTAGCACGAAGAACTCTCCGATTGCCGAAAGATGGACCTTACGATGGCGTGGTCTGCTGGAACTGACGAAACTGATGAAGCAACAATAATTCAGTAACACGCATATGGACGGGCTTCTATTGACAATCCAGGGAAAGCAGATCGACGTTATCTGCCGTCATACATGCTCGTAGTTTGTTGCGGCCTCTGTACTGTAGGTCCTGCCCCATAAAATATAGCCCCTTCCCAGAATGAGGGGAACTTCAATGTTTACAGTGTACCAATTTGTGACACGGGTCGGACGCGAGACGCGTACGCGCTTTTGCGCGTCACTCACACTTGGCACGGGGAGCACCTCGTTTGCATCGGATCAAAAGTAAAGCTCGGTGACCCCACTTGAAAAGTCCCCCCTGAATCCACAAGGAGACTCACACTACATTTTTAAATGCTTGCATGTACAGTACTTGTACGTTTTTGACTGTCACTACGGACTACTAATGGCACGCTCAGGGATGACGGACGTCCACACTGACAGTTGGCGTGGGAATTGCATCGGATGACGAGCTTTAGCCTCCCGAAGCGTCCAATTAATCTTTTGTCTTATTGGACGAAGACTTTGTGCTTCAAACTGGCTACACCTCGGAATGGGGTGAACACGCAAAATGACATTTTGGGAGACCCGCCATGTTCGGTACGGACTAGACTCGTTCGTGTTACCTTCCTGAAATTTTGGGAAATTGGGTAGATTGAAGCCACATACCTTGATCCGCTGCTGACCGTGCACACTATCACCGTCTCAGATGCAGCCTCTATCGCTGACCCCTGAAAGAGACCAGGCTCAGAGCGGTCAAGCTGCTCTCCCTTGCTTGCGTTCTAGAGATAAGAAGCTTACTACTATAGTTAAACGAATCCTTCCTATGAGTCTAGTCCGTGGTGTATGTATGTGTGTGTACTGTGTGCAGGATTTGGGCCAAAAAACTCATATAGCCAATTCTCACATCCCTTGTCATCGTCGCCGTTGCCGCCATGGAGAAAATGGACAGCCCCTCACAGAGAGGAATAAACGCCTTACAACAATTTTACGGCAATCGGAAATCCCTTCGATGGGTAGTTTTTCTGGTCATCGCCGCCCTCACAACCCTGTATCTAACAGGTCAAAGTTACACCCCATCGAGCACTGGGACACACAAGGCCAGCAAGTCTCGAGCCAAATATCTTTCACCAGCGAAACTCCTAGAACGACCGATTTCCAAAGATCTGCAGACAATACCCAAACTCTTCCACCAGAGTTGGTCTAGCAACGAACTGCCCGCGAAATTCGAACGATGGAGCGCCACTTGCAGGAGAGCACACCCGGACTGGGAGTGGGTGCTGTGGACTGACAAGGACAATGAAGAGCTGGTGAAAACACATTTCCCGTGGCTGTTGAAGACATACAAGGCCTTGCCAGGCGTCATCTACCGTGCGGACCTGGTGCGGAATCTGTACATGCACATGTTCGGAGGGTAAGCAAAAGAGAGACCCCTGTGGCAGATTTGAAGCATACACACACAACGCAGTCCGTCCGAAACTAACCATTCTTTTTGATCACCTCAGTGTCTACGCCGACCTCGACGTCGAATGCCTCCTACCATCCGACCACCTTTTCAAGACTTACAACGTCTCGACCGTATCACACGCAAAGCCCCGACCGCTAACAACACACGACATGCACAAGAGCGGTCGGAAAGCCTTCTTCGGCAGGATGGGCACAGACGACTCTTTCGACAACTCGGTCCCGAATGCATGGATGGCGTCCACACCAGGCCACCCATTTTTCCTGCTGCTAGTCGAATCCGTCATGAAGCAAGTAGCCGAGGGGCCCGAGAACTGGTCTGCAGAAGCCATCACGGGCCCCGCGAAGCTGTTCTATACCATCGGCGAGTACAGCGAGAAGGAGGGCAAGTACTCGGGCGAGCTGCTCGACAAGCACGTCGCGAAGAACCCAGCCGCGAAGCAGTTCACCCCGCGGAAGGGTCTGGGCCATGCTGTTGAAGTGCTGCCGTTCCAGTATATTTATCCCTACTCGTGGCAGCGGGACGGCGAGGCGTTCCGCGATTTCTGCTGGGCGACCAAGAAGTCATTTAATGCAACCAAATGCAAGCAGCTGCTGGCGACCGATCGCTGGCCGAGTTATGCCATCACGTACTGGAGCCATACCTGGACCGGCGAGGGCCATGATGAAGGCAATCTTGCTCAAATCGAGCAAAATTGAGGAGAGAAGTTGGGGGGAGAAATTTCGACTTGAAAACGAACGACAAACACCCGCAACATCGCCTCTCTGATCTCATATCACCTGTTGGGGGATACCTTATGGAGACCTTTCTATGTGGTTGAGGAGACTCACGGAGCCCATCCTCCCACAATTCTGTTTTTGGCAAGGCGATCGATACAGCGGGATGGGGGTTTTCACGCGTATAGAACGGGACAAGCACACGAAAGGAGCGGCAGAGCTACCTGACCCCGATTTCTAACATATTAACGGTTTTTGATGTCTTAATGTCGTCCGGCACTTCCGGAAAGATGAGCGTAGATTTTTGGTCTGGCCAAGTTGTTTTTATTATCACACAGATGGGCAATATCTGATGGAAAAGAAGCCTTCACTAGATGGATTGATTCAATGGAATGAAATAAAAAAAAAAAAGTGTCAATATCCCTTCAATAAACGCCTTCCTCAACTCACTTTTCTGTGATTTGCAGCAATTTACTGAGATCTTCGTTGGAAAGGGGCTCGACGTCCTCCCCACCCCATGACCCGGGGTCCGAGGAGGCTGAGATAAGGCAGGGGTCACTCAAGGAGGGGCAGATTGAAACGACCACCAAAATATAATCTACTTTTACTCACCCAGACATCATCTTCAACCGCCGACCATAAAAAGCCCTGAAAACTAACCAGTGTGTGTACTCGGTGGCAAGCGGATGGATCAATAGAACTGGGGGGAGCCTTTCCACGGACTTGTAGCTGAGGAGAGCCAAAGGACCCTTGGGTCACTGAAAGCCGCCCAACGGTGCGTTCCTGGAAATTTCACTCAGTTACTATAGTTGAAGGTCACTGGTTCTGGCCGGCGCACAGGCGAGACAAGCTTCTATTTAACGGTGAGAATGGCAACTGCCCCACTGCCACCAACATCAACATCAACGTCATCGTCATCGATCCACCGTGTCTCGCCAACGATACAGATCGCATATACACTGTACGAAGCCGAGCCCACGAACCGTGGACCAGCAGCACGCGCAACCGTAATCCTCATCAATGGGCTCGCCGACACGAAGGAAACATGGGGCAGCCAGGTCCCGTCCTTCACGTCCGCGGGATACAGGGTGCTCACGTACGACAATCGCGGCGTCGGGGCGTCGTCGCGACTGCCTCTTCCCGACAGCGACGACAGCAGAGGCGCAGTATTCTACACGACGCGCGAGATGGCGGACGACCTTGCGCGTCTCCTCACGCACCTGAAGATCCAAGGGCCGGCGCACCTCCTCGGCGTGAGCATGGGCGGGATGATCGCGCAGAGCTTCGCGCTCGAATACATCGTTCCGCCCGCAGCCGCGGTCCCGGGCATCGTCTTCCTCAGCGTGACGCTCGTGTGTACGTACGCCGCCCCAGGCCCGTTCTGCACACGGATGTTCGCCATGTGGCGCGATGTCGCGCGGGCGATGGGTGTGCAGACGGTCATGCGGGACGTTGCGCTGTGGTGTTTCAGTCCGGAATTCTTTGCCGATGAGACTAGGCGCGAGCAGGTGCGGGACATGGATGCTGCGATGGAGTGTATTGATGACGAAGACGCAGGTGGGATGGGGCTGGGAGCGTATTGTGCGCAGTTGAGCGCCATTCAAGAGTTTGATTCGCGCGCTGTGGTTGGTATGCTGGCGCAGAGGAGGCCTGGTGTCCGGGTCGTGTTGCCGAACATTGTGGTGCTGGCGGGCGAGTCTGATATTCTGATCCCGGTGTCGCTGTCGAGGGAGCTGCATGGTCTCATTCCCGGGGCGCGATGGTGCACTACCAGAGGCGGGCATGCTTGTAACTGGGAGTTCCCGGATGAGTTTAACAGGACGTGTTTGGATCTGTGGACGGACATAGAGACTAAGACACAGAATTGGGAGGATGTGACGTGATTGTCCAATTTGTCATATCATTAAGGAATACTGAATACGGAATATATATCTAGTATTGGGCCGACTTTGCTGCGCTATGCTATTTTCATTAATTCATGCTCTCAAAAATGGTGGCGTGATGGGCCTACCGCAAACATCTAGACATTGTGATCGATGGATACCATTTCCGCAGTACTCTTCATTGATCAAAGGTACGTCGTCGTCGGCTGCAAATTAGCTACCTGAACAGGCACGCCAGAGCCAACCTGAGCGAGACCGACTCTGCCAACCTGCTCATGAGGCGCCGAGACATCACCGATCTTGACTTTAACGCCCTTGAGCAACCTCGCCCGCTGAATGCCGCTTAGTGTAGTGCCGTTGTCTGGCACCTGGAGGTATTGGTTGTCTCTCGTCAGACTCGAGACATAGCCGAAGATATCTGGCGCGAGAGTCTTTACGCGCAGAGAGCATGCGATGACGGATGCGACGAAAAGAATGAGACACGAGACAATGTCGACGGCGATCCAGGGCCAGGAAACGGCGTAATGGGGATCGTAAAAGGCGCCGTCTACCGAAACCTCGAGAAATCCGGCTCCGCCGTAGATGGGGTTCACTCCTGTTTCCTGCTGGCTGACCATGTAGTAGCTGTTGAAGTAGCGGGTGATGGTTGTGTTGAAGAGGTTGGCTTCATCAGCGTCGTAGGGAGTGCTGTAGGTCGTGGAGCCCAGTGAAGCCTGAAGTCCTGAACCTATGTTCCAGCCGATAGTAGTGGGCTGTATCAAGTCTGTCTGTACGCCATTTGCTAGCAAAATGTTTGTGAAGAAGTTGCCTGCGAAGACATCATCATCGAAAGGAGTACTGTAGGAAGTGGCATTCTGACGGCTGGTATGGTTTGCATAACGCATCTGTCGTGGGTAGCAACCTTGGTCTTGACAGTGGATCTTGATCTCCACATTCACGGTTGAGATATTGCATATCTGTCGCGAGCTTCCGGGGGTAGGGATCTGATTATAATCGACGACGGGCCAGCGGAGCCAAAGTTCGAATTCTCGCAAAGGTTGAGAATTCATGTCCCGAGGGGCATCATCTCGTAGTTCGGTCATGTTCAGACTGATCGATTGTTTGAGATATGTGCCGTTGGGAAAGGATTCGAAAGGTAGAATGGTTGGTACATCGCAGCCAACATCGAGATAGCTTGTCTGCATGGTATAGTCCCCAAGAAATCCATTGGTTTGAAAGGCATGATTGCCACTGCCACCAATGTTACGCTTCCGAAAGTACACCAAGTTTCCGACAAAGGATGAATAGAATTGCCCATCATACAGCAGTGATTGTCGAGAAACGTCCACCCAGCCGTGTCGATCCGCCTTCGGAATGTGGGTGTCGTAGCTATTGGGATCGGTGCGGTATCCTGTTCGAAGAATGGCATTCAGGTCCGGAAGTAGTGCAGAGCCGGCTGAATCGGTGCCATATCGGGATGATTGATCACCAGTGGGAGTACCCCATGCCTGGGCGTAATTGAAATCAGAATTGACATATTCAATACGGAAAAGTGGGCTGTCCTCCTGGTCGACGAAGGCAGGGCTAAAACCTGATACATAATCTGGGCCTCCAGTATAACCGGCCATTGTATGGAAGTTGGCTGAAGAGACCTTTTGAAACTCTCGCTTACACGCCTGACTCCCCAAGTAGTAGAAAGACCAGACGGAAACCAGGGCGACGCTGGTAAGTGTGAAAGCACGTAGGGAGATAATGAGCTTGAATGTGCTGGGCAAGCTAATGCTTCCTTGGAGCTGTTCGAGCTCTGAGACGTATGCGCCTTCTTGTGCCTTCCAGAGTGCGTACCTGCGTACGAGGGTCGACATAATAGTGACAAAGATGATGGTGAACGCTGTAACCATCTGACCATTGAATTCTAGCAAGAAAAGAGTCAACTTGCTGACAAGGTCGACACCACTTCCACGGTGACCTCGGTCGATGTACCATGCTCCAATCACTAGGCCGATCTTGGTGAATAAAACAAAGGGCACAAGTAACAAGGACGCATCAAATATGGCCATGAGAATGGACACTTTCCTGTCAGGGACCAGGGGAACTGGTTCTTGTGGCCATGTTGGCGTTGGAAGATGCTCGGTGCTCGCGGCCGCATTGAACGATCGGTTGGAGTGCTCTGAGCCTGATGCTTGTGTCAGTTCGATGACCGAGTCATTGACTCGGCTTGATTTCTCCATAGCGACCAGCAATTGGATCTCAAGAGCAAGACTGAAGAGTAAAGAACACCATCAGAAAACACAATTATGGTTGAGATGAGAGAAGCGAAGGAGACGTTGTTGGAGGCTTCTCAGCCCGGTGGAGCCTCGTCGCGCAAGTAATGGGGCGACACTTCCATATCTCGTCACTCATAGCTGCTTACTCCTTACTCTAGCAATCTCAAATGGAATCTAGGCCAAGCCTTCGACTCACTTACCGAGTTCTGTTGCCACAGTTAGGGCAATATTGCTGCACCAGGCATTTTAGGAGAGTGAAAACAGCAAGGTGCGAAGCACACATGGCGAGTCGCTCCACCTGGGATAACCATCGCTAACAGCATTAGCGGGAGCCCCGAACCATCCATTTGGACCACGATAGCCGAACTGTGGATCAGCAAAATCATGGTAAAAAGTGAAAACAGCAAATACAGAGTAGGAAAGATTTGTGGCTGAAAAAGGAGGCGCCACCACAAGCCGAGGCAGTTGAGGCGTACGGTAGTTCACCACTGCTATGCCTTTTTTGTCGCTGAGAGTATTTGATGACTCGGGGTCGCCATTTTTCTTAGTGTATGGATCCTCCACAGCAGAGCGGTGCCCGTGCCCGGTTCGCAGGAGAGAAACGCTAATGCTCAGCTGATTCGAAGTCCCATCTACAGTGGCAGTCAATCATTTTGACGAGTTGAGCGAGCATTACGCGCTGGCTTGGAATGTGAGCCAAGAGACAAAGTCAACGCGTGGAGAATGGACCCTTCGACTGAGACATTTTACCACGAGGCCTGCAGGTTGTCATTACCATTGCCCTGAATTATCCAAGAAGAACCCCGACTCCAGACTTTCGACAAAAGGAGGGTGGGCAAGTTTGTTGTGCCCGTCCCGCCTCCCGCTGGGAAATAAAAACGCCGAATTGACGCCTGTTCACGTGTCACCCACGTGTGTCTGATCATTCATCCCCGCCAGGGAAACAAATATATAATCTGGCAATTGGATCACTTCCTCCAAGCCAAACGGATCGGCTCGAACTCAGCAAAGCTCACGTCAGAAATCCCATTGAGATGGTTTTCCTTCTTCGAGATCGTGGAATGGAGCTGGCCACCTGGTTGCGGCCGGATCGCGGCCGACTGGACAAGAGACAATAAAGCTAGTAACACCTTGCGAAGCATGAGATATCTCATTTGAATGATGAAAAAATTGTAGTGTCCTTGTGTACACAGCACAAGATGTTTCTGCGTTGAGTCAACCAGACGCGCCTCGGCCGAAGCGCCTAGCCGAAGCGGCATCGCAGGGCTGTGCTCCGTATGGAGGATGAGATACGCGCGAAGAGCCCCCCGCTTTTTGGGACGCCGTTCAAGCCTCGGAAGAACATGTCTCCACGTATCGACATCCATCCTCACTGTATCGTCACCAAGCCCGGGCGCAGCCTCGGTAGTAATGATATAAATAGGTGCTTGATCTTTTCTTGATAAGTCCGCAGCAAGAAACCTGAGCGTCGCTTCTTACCTCCTCTGATCATTGTTGTCAATCATTTATCTCTTCTTGAAGATCCGGAGCACCGTGACAAGAGAAACGAGCACATTCTGCCAACAGCCGAAAGACTGTAAGCGATTCCTCGGGTGCACAACTTCCAAGGTCCATCCCAAGGCGGGAAAGATGTCGAGACTTGTTCTAGCCACAGCAGTCACGCACGGCTTGGCCTCCGTGGGCCATACAGTATGCCACCCCGTTAATCCCCCCTGGCTTTCTCTTCCTTTAACAATATGTTCTCCCCCACCGTTTCCAGAAGTACCCACTAATAAAATGCTACTTCTCCAGCTCACGGGCCTGAAGGTCTTCGCGCTGCCAGAGTGGAAGGGGCTCCCAACGCTGCTCCGCTGTTATGCGAAGGCGGGATGGTTTGAAGGCAGTGTGTTCTTCGCTATCACCAGTAAGTCATCCTCTGCCCCACGCCGGTCCGGCCTGGGAGATTATACTACGGTGTAGTTTTATTCATGAGATGATAATCGCGCTCTCTCCTGTATTTATAGGCCTATACACGTACCAGCTCTCGCAGATTCCGCCGTCACAGTGGACATCGATCGATAGGACGATCTCGACGTTGACCTGGCTGCTTTACTGGGGCGCGAGTGCTTGGTATGTCCGCAACGGGGACAAAGGCACTGGAGCCGTCACTGCTGTTGCCGGCGCACTACAGGCTGCCTGTTTGACTCTATGAGGTAATTGTTACTGGGATTATGGGACTCTTTGGACTCGGTGAGGGACTTTAATATTGCCTAGTTTTGCCGCGAGGTCCTGTGTCTGGAACTACTGCCTCTGCGAGAAGAATCAGTCCACAATTGAATTATCAATAGTTTATGAATAGTGTAGACTCGTATCGCGATCATTACAACTCATAACTAATCATAAGAAATATCTCAACAAGGGTTAACGCTCTGTAGCTCATGTCCTCCAATTGAAAATGTTAATTCCTCCGCCTTCCTCCGCCGTCGTGTGTCTCCTTTCGGATGGTAGGGCTGAGTGTTGCTTCTGAAACCTTTTGAACGGCGTGTCTTTATCCTTCCACCATTCACGAGTCACGGGAACCACGGTTGATGGCCATTCCGGAATTCTTTTTGGTGTGGCTCTGTTCAATGCTAAACTTCTTCTACCAGTCCTATCTGTTGTTGACTTGGAGGAAGTACTTGGAGATGATCTGGCACGGTCAGGTTGTCGCGCCGAGCTCCTTGAGGCCTGACTATCAAGCGCATGGCTGCCTCTGTTTTGCGCCGATCTTGGTCTGCCGGAGCCTGATGGCGCTGCGAATGATGACGGCAGAGAGCGTCTGCTGACGGTTATCGCCTGGGTCCTGGGACTCGAAGGCACTGAAACATAGACTTCATGTCTGTTTGACTTACTTCGGTCCACATCGGGCGTGCCTAGTTCAGGAGATGGTCCTCTGGTTGGCAATTGAATCAGCTCAGAGCCGCCCGTTCTTTTCACTGATACTGGCGATGTCTCGTCCCGGAGAATCTGAGGAGGTCTAGTCCGTCGCTCCGGTAGTCCCTGCGTGACAGACTCGTGATCATGGCCTGCCAGCACTGTCCGACTATTTATTTGCTGCAGAGTGGCTGGTTGAACCATATGATCATGAGTATCGTCCAAGTCGCACAAGGACTCAAGAACTTGCACTGTAAGTACCTTTTGAAGATGACAAGGGTCACTGGTGTGAGTGTTGTAGAATTTACCATAAGTCATCACATCCTCTCCACCCAGGACTTCATTCAGCAGGAAAGGCCGATAACTATGATAATGATGAAAGATTACATCATCAAAAAGGAAAGGATGAGGTGCGTTTCCAGTCCTGATCATCCTCCTGAGGACTCTCACTGCCTTGTTGAAGTCATTCAGTTGCCCTTTGTAATCAGAGTACAAGCTTCTAAATCTCGTAAAAACGTTCTGCAGTGTTGCATATGCCGGCACGCGAAGGGATCCAGCGACGACACCACATCCTTTGGTGTCCTTGTTGCCTGCAGTGCCCTGACCATAGTCTGATATTCCTGTTAGCGGCGTCGAGGATTGGGGCGGTGAGTCCTCTTCTGAAGGATGACTGGTCCGGCGGTCTGCCTGATGAAGACGCAGTGTTTGCATACCAGCGGCGTCAATATGATCGCCTATCGAGGGTGAGAAGGACTGTGACCGTGACCGTGACAGTGATCTCGCTGTAGTTGATCTTCCAAAAGTTCCAAACTTTTCACGCCGATACAATCTGAGCCCTTGGAAAACGGTCGCGTAGTCAGGATCCGGTAGCCGGTGTTCAGTCTCCTCTTCTGAATGCACCCGACGTCGCTTGTTTGGTGGGTTGGTACCGGTATCATAGAGGTCTCGCTTTGTTTTCGTAGCACGAGGGCTTGAACTGAGACGTGGGTCTCTTCTAGATAATGTTGCAGCTTCGGTGGTCTGAATTGGTGATGCGGAAATGTGTTTGAGAGCCGAAACCTTGGGAATGGGCGTAGCTGCGGCACCATTGTCTGGTAACGATTCTAGTGGTACGCTAATGTGCGAGTTCTGGTTGCTGGGAGCTGCCACATATCCTCCCGATGGAAGACAGGAACTTTGATGATTCAACGATGAATGAGAAATTTCTCTATCTGAAGCATCAACCCCTGCTGTAGTATCCCCAATATCGAAAGAATTGTCCTCCTGTCTAGGTTGCTGGTCCTTCTTGTCGACAGCCCGATGGATTTCCGAACACGCATCTGAATTTAGAGGTTTAGGGTCAAGGTTCTCAGGCTCAACAAGTGAGATAACCGTCCGTCCCATATTTTCTTCCCACAAAGCGTCGGCGAAAGTCCCTGGCACACGGCCCGAGGACATTAGGAGTGGGTTGTCTACCCTTGTAATCTGGGTTTCGTTCAGGACCGTGTCAGAGGGCGTTTGCCGAGAGGCAGTAGTCTTATCCACATATGGCGTGCGCGCAACCTGTAAAATCTTAACATTTTGAATCATTGGCAAGCAAGGAATCTCAGAGCGTGTGGGATCCTCACGGAGGAGGCTGGCATGATCATCTTGTTCCACCGAGGGGGATAGATGTCCCTGTTCCAGTGGTCCATCTACTGATAGCTGGGGGGACTTTGGCATAGAGCCTGCAGATAGAGTAGCCTTATCTGTATTTTGAGAAAATGCTTTTGCACTTGGTGATCGATTCTTCGTAACGCTCATGGCCTTACTTGCAATAGCAGGGAAGTATGAATCCGTACTTGAAATCGGAGCAATGGTTTTTGCTCCACCATTGTGGCCTTGGACAGCAAGATGCTGATTGAACTTAGGGATGCAGGGATCCGGGCTATCATCAGGTAGAAACTGGCGCCGTTGTTGTGAGGGACTTGGTGGCCAGTGTTGTTCATCAACGGTTAAATCACTGCTAGACATGTGCCCAGAATGTTGACTGTGACATTCAAGATCCTCGTCGACGGCATGTTGAAGATCATGGCGATGCGATGATTCGCTTCCACTAGACGAGCTTGCGCAACCTGATATACGTCGAGCATCTGCAGCTTTTGAGAGGGATTCTAACAAACCAAGAGGGATATCCCCAGGCCTAGCTCTCTGGCCTATGCAAGGGGGTTGCCAGGCCTCGTCAGATTCCAAGAGCTTTCGTTGTGGTGTAGAAATTCTTTCTATATATTGAGGAAGGTATCTGCCCTGCCTCAATTCTTGTCGCCATTTTTGGAAGGCGCTGCTTAATTGGAGAGAAGAATCCCCGGGAGTGTCTTCCTGTTGTCCGCCATTTATGCTCAGCGATGAGCCCGCCAAGCCATGTGCAGGATGAGCAAGAGTCTCCCCAGTCGGGAGAAAGTTTGTGGTTGGAGGTAGACTAGTCCCTGACGCTGCAGCTGGTCTCACAGGTGACTCAACCCTTTGCGGTCTTATGTCTTGAGAAAAGCGAATCGGTGACGAGGGTTGTGCTAGACTGGACGATCTCACATCCTCGGAGGACTCTAATCCTACATCATCACGACGGAGGTGCCCTTTATCCTTAGTTTTGCCGGCTCTCAACGAGGTCTCGTCAATTTCGACCGTTGTATCAAGACTAGAAGCACGTTCTGTTTTGACCTCTGCAGTATCGTTTTGGAGTTTCTGGATCAATTGCAAGCTGTAGAGCTCGTCCTGAGTTGGGTTGACGGAAGGGAAGTTACCAGTTGGAAATGGGACCTGGGTCAAAAATAGTTGAGATTCATAGGAGGCATGAGTGCCTGCTTCATCACTTAAACCCCCATATCGGTCGGGGCTGAGATAGTACTGGGATTTGATAGATTGAGGGCTGCTATTGGGTTGCAAGTCGACTTGGCTACTTGCCTTGTGGTGGACAGAGTATTTATTGAGCAGGGAGATGACACCAGGATCTCGAGATACGGGGCCGTGGGACTGAGGTTTGTCATACAGCTGTCGCCAAGTGACAGTCTCTAGAGACTCGACGAGGAGTTCGAGCTTGGTAGGGGCGTTTCTATTATTGAGTCGAAGAGCTGGGTTTAACAGCTTTACCAGTCCAACTGATTCAAATATGCTCGAGTTTCCTCTTTCTAAGCTCAATAGCGTTTGATGAGCAGTTGTCGAGAATCTTGCATCAATGGCGTGTTTACCGTCAGAAATTGTGCCTCGGGATAAGTCTCGTCGTTGTGAGAGTGTTGGATCAGCCTGACCAATATCTTAGTGAACACTATGAGTTTCATTAGGAGAGACGGCTTACCTCTGTGACAAGCGCACATATGGTATAGGGCGCCGTTCGATGTATGTCCACTTGACTCTGGTCCTCCAAAGCCTTGATTTCAAAACCAGAAGTGGGCTTCCCTTGGTGATGATCTAGAATCTTGGACAGCGCGACTCTCACGAAGGGCGCCAACCACGGCAGGTGGTGCTCCATAGACGGAATCTCTCATTGGGGGTTTTGGAGGGATGTATTCTGTCAGGCGTGGCCGTTGCTGCATTGCGGAGTGGCTGCGATACGCAAAACTTGGAGACAGCGCGTGCTAGGGAGAATTTATCGCGTCTATCCCGCGGCGTGGAACGCGACCGCCAAGAAGTGTGACGTTGTTGTTCGCGGCTGACCTGCCGTTTTAATCGAAGGCCAAAAGCGGCGGGGTGTGGGCGCCTACCACTGCGAGTGACAACGCCAACGCAGATGCCGATGCCGACGCCAACAGCTGAACGCTGTTGTAAAGTGACAGTCCTTAATCGAGTATCAAGAGACCTCGTAACTGTGACATCTGTCAATCCAATAATGAAGCAGAGTTGTCTATTCTCCTCCAGTCTCTAGATGACTTCGAGTGCGAGCATGAGTTCACTCGCCATCATACACTGCTCCAGCCAGGCCCATTGGCCACCAGGTTGAACCATTGAACAACTCGGATTCATGATGCCTTCGACGAGCCATGCCAATTCAAGCCCTTCCGCTTCCTCCATCTTCCTCCCCCTCGGCCGTAGGGCCCGTCGGGACTCTAGATCCTCCCTGTCTCATGATCTTGATCAAGGTGCCCTGAATGAGGCCCTCGATACCATCCATACTGCCGCGTCCCAGTCAAACAATTTGACAGTCTTCAACGAGTACACCGACCCACCATCAGGTGCTTCCGTGTCCGAGAACAGGACACTTGCGAGCGATATCCAGGGCGGTCTCTCCGGTCTTTATAACAAAATAAAAGCCACCGTAGCAGGTGCGAAGGACGTTGAACATGATGGCCTGTCTACTGCATCCCAGCCATTCGCCGATGACCGCCTCAGCTCCAAACCCAGTTCCGGGTTGACCTCGAAGGTCCACTCACCTCGTCTCAATCCATTCGACTCTCCTATCGTTCCTGACCCACCCTCGATGCAATCCTCTATGCATTCCAAGATATCCTCCAAGGCCACAAGCACCACGAAAGTATCACTACCTACGACACCAGCGTTAAGGTCTCCAACAGGTCCGCCGCCACCTTCTTCGCATGCCCTCGACCCTGCAGTTACCGAACTCAGTATCCATGCTCTGGGGTCGGGGAACCATTCAAGAACCGGTTCGGGCTTCGAGATAGACTCAGCCAGCCACGATCACCCCTTGACAACGACCGGAGAAGGCGAGAGCTTGCGCAGAGTATTGTCTAAGACTGTTAACGATAGTGCTTCTTCCGAGCGTGCTGGCCGTCTTATTACCTCTCCAAGGTTATCAGCAACTCAAAGACCAAGTGCCCGGGTCATTCCAGGATCGCACGAACGTGCCCTGTCAGCGGCCTCGGTTCACAGCCATATAAGCAATACCGATACCGTGACCAGCCCTTCTCTCCATCCAATCTCGCTGGCTGAAAAAAACTTTTCGCGCGTGGTGTCAAACCGACAAGAAGCGGTGCCGGTGCTCAAGCACCACCCAAGCCCATTGGATCTTCTTGCAGAAAATGTTGGTCATACTTCAAGGGCCGCTTCTGGCTTGCATACCAAAACTACGGACGGATCTGGTTTAAGGTCTCCCGGGCTATCCAGTTTGGATCAACGACCGGCAGACAGGCTCCCGCCAAAAATCAGTCAGTCAAGACTGCCAGGCTTCCGAGCAGCACGGACGTCTTCATCTGATTCAACTGTCCCTGCTTCTTTGTCCCTCGCAAACCTTGATAAGTTACCCGAGAATAAACAGGACACCCACATCGGCAACGGTTCTCAACCTAGGCCAATCAATAAACTCCGAAGCAAGCTCCTGAGCAAAGAATTCTGGATGCGAGATGAGAATGCGAAGGATTGTTTTCACTGTGGAGAGCCGTTCACCACTTTCCGGCGAAAACACCACTGTCGCACCTGTGGCCAGATTTTTGACAGCAAGTGTACTTTACTGATAAGCGGAAGCCATTTCGGTTGCAATAGTGCAGTACGTGTTTGTAAACCGTGCGAATCAATCATCACGTCTCATGATGACGATTCTTCGGACTACTCACTTGAGGATTTCGCCTTGGCTGACTCTGCGGCGAGACCCAACACCCCTGAGCGCATTCCAGTGAACCGCGCGCTTGCTCGGTTCGACGATGACAATGTTTCAGTAGCTTCTCAATCTTTAGAACAGATGGCGAAGACGCCCACAATGAGCTTCCCTGTACGACGGGCTTTCGAAGGCGCCGATCGGACCTCAGCAGTCCTTGAATTTGACACAACAGATCGTGCACTTGCTCGACCAAGCTCATCCCGATCACTGAAGGCAAGCCATTCCATAGGCCATGGGCACAAACGTCATCATTCTCGTCATCAACATATCCGTAACTTCAAAGCATATCATGAAGACAGGGTACCTTTCCAACGCCGTGCGGCTGAGGATGGGCCCAAAGCGGTCAAGACCTCTGCTTTCCACAGGGACAGTATAATTGATCCCGATCTTGCTCAATATTTATCCGATGATCCATCTAGCGACGACGAGCAATCAATCAGCAGCATCAGCCACGATAAATTGTCTCGGAGTGGTCCAGAAAGTGACAGAACAGCCATCGGAGGCCTTTTGGCAGCTGTCAGGAAAGGACGTTCCCGAATTGGCGATCGCAGCATAGCTGGGTTTCTGAATCTAGCTCGGGACGGCGATGATGCGAGTGTTACTAGCTCGCGAAACCAGGACCTATTGAGGCTGCCTCGAAAACGCAATCTCAGTGTGTCCAGCAGCATCCATCAGCGCAGTACACCAAGAACCACTCGAGAGCGATTACAAATCATCGTTCCCGGTAGTCAGGAGGACATAATTGAGAATCTAAGCGATACCCCTGGCTTCTACCGAGGTGGATCAAGAATGATTCGCAGTGCATCTATGCGTGGCATCGCCGCACCAGCCATGGAGTTGAACCGTGCGAGCATCCAGCATGTACACAAGCTGTTGCAACAATTGCTCAAAGATGCTAACATTCCGAAATTGTCAAGCTGGGAAGATGCTCTGATTCCAATTCTACTGAGGGCAACTGATGATGTTGATCCAGATGTTCAAGGCGGCGATGATATTGATATACGAAACTACGTGAAACTTAAAAAGGTGCCAGGAGGCAAACCCGGTGACACCGCATACATCTCTGGTCTGGTCTTCACGAAGAATGTTGCTCTCAAGAGTATGGCACGGTATCATGCAAACCCCAAGATCCTGATCATTACTTTCGCGCTAGAATATGCAAGACACGAGCAACACTTCATGAGCTTAGATCCCGTTATACGGCAAGAACGAGAATATCTAGAAAACCTTGTTGGCAGAATTGCAGCTCTTAAACCAGATGTTCTTTTAGCCCAGCGAAATGTTTCTGGTCTCGCACTTGAGCTCCTCGAGAAGGCGCGGATTACTACTATCTTCAACATGAAGTCCTCTGTGTTGGAGGCGGTTTCTCGTTGTACTCAGGCTCGTGTGGCACAATCTATGGATAAACTCACTCAGCAGGGGTCCCTCGGCAGCTGTGACTCTTTTGAAGTGAAAACTTACGTTGCTGATGGACGGAAGAAGACATACGTTTGGCTTTCAGGTTGTCCGCCACAACTGGGCTGCACTGTTGCTCTTAGGGGTGCAGATCGTCTGACACTGGCAAAGATCAAGCGCGTGACTGAATTTATGGTATATGTTGTTTACAACTTGAAACTTGAAACATGCTTGATGCGAGATGAATGGGCCTTGATTCCCAGTGGTATCACAGATACGGATCCTGGAACTCTTCGTAACAAAGGAGACAGCAAACGCAAAGGATTCGAAAAGAATATCGATGGAGAATCGAAGATGAAATTGGTAGCCGAAGTACCAACAGATGTCGAAGGACAGGTCAGCGCGACTTCAGACTTGTCTAGTGCAGATGTGGTCTCTGCTGGCAAGGACGAGGCTCTCGCCCCAGCGGTGAGAATGGACAGCACTGATTCGGCCCATATTCCTGATGACATACCTGTGCCAATGTTTTATGAAGACCTTGTCCTCAAGCACGAAACCAGAATTCTATCTGCATCACCATTTGTGAAGTTCATGCAGCCTTACCTTTTGATGCGCGCAAGGGAATTAGAGAGACGCGTAGCTTACCTCAAGAGACTCCGAGACCAAGATCTGAGCGCCGAGCAGGGAATGGAAGACAAAGGCAAGGTCAACAAGTTCACGTTGATCCAGCCTGAAATGGTTCACCGACCCCTCGCTGGTGCAAGCAAAAAGGTCCGAGAAATTATTCACGCGGTCCACGACGCAGAATACGACAAAGCTGCATACAATTATGAGACTCAGAAGAAGCAGTGGGAAACCTATCTATCAGGGAACCGCAATCTCTTTGATCCATTTGCACATCAAAATATCGTGGTCTTGTTCAGTCAAGTTTCTACTGAGACATCGGTTCCCTGCTCCGGTCCAGATCTTCTGGCCTTCAGCTTCTACAATGAACACGAGATAGAAGCCGAATTCGAAGCAGATTGCACTTTGGGTCAGTATGTTGAGGATCTGTGTCTTCGAGCGAATGAGGTCTGTCAGTCAGAGGCGTGTGAAAAGAAGATGCACGAACACCATCGACAATATGTGCATGGAGAAGCGCAACTTACCGTCTTCGTTCAACCTTACCCAGCTAAAATGCGTGGATATCAAGATGTGATACTTATGTGGAGTCAATGCAAGATTTGCGGCATTGAAACCACCGTCGCTCCCATGTCCTCCAGTTCCTGGAAATACTCATTTGGAAAGTACCTAGAGCTCTCTTTCTGGAGTTCTGACCTTCACGCTCGTGCTGGCATGTGCCCTCATGACCTACATCGAGACCACCTACGATATTTTGGCTACAAGGATTTCGCTCTTCGGGTGCATTATGACCCTGTCGATCTTCTTGAGATTATTGTACCTAGAATGAGGATTACTTGGAAGGTGGATAACGACTTGAAATTCCGCAACGAGGTCTATACTCGCATGGAGCACCGTATCACACGGTTTATGGTCTCTGTGAAGCTTCGTTTGAAGAGTATCAACGTCGATACTATTCTGCTGGAGACCGCCGATTCATGTCGAGCAGAAATCGAACGCCTAATGAAGAGAGCGAACGAGGAGCACGCCAGCCTTGTCAAGCAATTACAGGACAGCTATACAAACTCACGGTATTGGGAGACAATCCCGCTCAATGCTATTGTCCGCATAACGCAAGAAAAGGTTGCCGAATGGGATACTGCGTTTGCAGACTTCGAAAAGGATTTTTTCCCTTCGGAGAAGGACATTCGGCGCCTTGCCACGCTGCAGCTGAAAAAGATCTTCCTTGATCGCGATGTATCTGTCACCTCGCTCACATCGAATGAGGAAGGCATTACGACTCCAGCCGAAGAAATTACAGACGAGAAAGACTCCTTGAGCGAGATGCACATGGGCGTAGCGGAACTGCAAAGAGGTGCAAAGTTGTCTCCAGAGAAAACGCAAAATGTCCTCCAGTCTGTGTTGGAGGAGCATTCGCTTCCCTCTAATTCGGAAGCTGGTTCAGCAACGCCTCTAGAAGTCAGCAAGTCTGATGTGCAAGCTCTACCATCGGTAGTAGAAGGCCCCTTGAACGTCGAAGAGATCAGACATCTTGATCTAGCATTGACCCATTTAACACAGCGAAAATCCTTAGTTGAGGACGATATTGGTGTTCCAGGTCTCGTTGCACTCAGTCCAGACGACTTTTCAGCTCAAAGAATGAGCATGGATGAAACCTTGTCACCTCCGATGAGTTTGGACTCTGCGGACCATAAGAGGTTAGCAAGTCACAGCCCAACTACCGGTGACCAAACACTCATTTCACCAAACTCTAACCCCGGAGGACCTCTCAGCCCTAAAGTGATCCGAAGAAGCAATGATGGCAAGTCTACTTCGCCAGCTCTAGCCCGCGCGCACTCGCAGCCTGCTGGATCAGTGGTGCTGCGGTCCGGTGGTCATACACACTCGAGCACCTTATCTGCAATCAATGCTATGAATGGGTTTGCAGCTGCTCAGGGCAAACAAAATCCTGCTTTGACCGCTCTCAGCAACGATTCGAATACATCAGGACCCGAAAAGAAACTCTCAGAGCGGCTAGGGCTAAGTCAATTGAAGAAGAGTACTTTTGGAAAAGGGCATTCGCTGATTCCGCGAGCCATTTCAAACCGCAAAGAGTCTCGAGTCTCCAATCTCGCTAAACATTTCGAGCAACTCAGTCGCGAGTTTGAAAGAGAACGCGTCAGAGAGAGAAGACTACGTACTGCTAGAAGCCGACAGTCTCGATATCCACTGGCCGTCTCGAAACCTATCGTTGAGGTCTACAGAGATGTGGACGAAGCGGTTGATGAGAGAGGAGACTCGGATGATGTCTTTGGAAATGACGAACCTGTCTCAGATGATCCTGTAAAGCTCGCACATGCAGCTCAGGACATGGCGGATGCGACTGTACCTGCAGAAAGAGAAGGAGAAGAAGACAAAGAGGACACGCATGCAGATGTGACTGAGAATGAAGCAGAAATCCTGCCATCTAGCCACGCCCCCTCTGAAGCCGAGGACCGGAGTGATGTGGACGATGCATCCCAGGAGACTTACCTGCCTGACTCACCTGAGGATCTTATGCGATTGCCGCAAGAAGAGATGGATCTCAAGGAGCTTCCCAAGCACGAACGCACGTCCTTAATGAAGATGCTGACCAACTTTTGGGCAGAACGCTCTTCCAGCGGATGGACTACGCTTGAGTATCCACTGACAGCCTCCGAGCATATTTTCGCAGATTGTGACATCATAGTCAGGGAGGATGAGCCCAGCTCGATCATTGCGTTTGCACTTGATTCGCAAGATTACAAGACCATGTTACAGGACCTCCAAAGCCGGTCGAGCAACGATTGCGATGTCATGGATATCAGTGGACATGACCACGCTGATGAGCTCCAGACAGATGTTATGCATTCCCTCTTGCGGAAGACCGGCACTCATCTGAAGTATCAGTTTCAGGAAGGACCTGCAAAGATGCTTTGCAAAGTTTTCTTTGCCGAGCAGTTTGATGCTGTGCGCAGAAAGTGCGGTGTGGCCGATCGCATTATCGAGTCGTTGTCCAGGTGTCTTAAGTGGGATTCCAAGGGAGGAAAAACGAAGTCCGTGTTTTTGAAGACATTGGATGACCGCTTCATCCTAAAGTCACTCTCCCCCATTGAGACACAGTCGTTTCTCAAATTTGCTCCCAACTACTTCCAGATCATGTCCGAAGCCTTCTTCCATGAGCTGCCATCAGTTATTGCAAAAATGCTTGGGTTTTACCAGATTATCATCAAGAACCCAGTCACAGGGGTGGAGTACAATTGGTTCCTGCTCTTGATGGAAAACCTGTTCTACGACCGTGTCCCCACTCGTATCTTTGACCTGAAAGGAAGCATGCGGAATCGCAAAATCAACGCGACGGGAGAAAAGAACGAAGTCCTCCTCGATGAAAACATGGTGGAATTCATATATGAATCACCTTTATTCGCCCGCGAGCACAGCAAGAAGCTCCTCCGCTCCTCCGTCCACAACGACACCCTATTCTTGGCGCGCCAGAACGTAATGGACTACAGCCTGATGATCGCGATCGATGAGAATCGCAAAGAGTTAGTCGTCGGTATCATCGACTGTATCCGCACATACACCTGGGATAAAAAATTGGAGAGCTGGATTAAAGACCGCGGCTTTGCACGAGGAGGGAAGAATCGACCGACGGTGACAAGTCCGAAGGAATACAAGCGAAGATTCAGGGAGGCTATGAATCGATATGTCCTGGAAGCGCCTAATTGCTGGCATCAGTTCAAACCGGTCAAGCTTGACCGTAAGGTGCTGAAGCTCGAAGGTGGAGGTGACCAGGACGGCGATAAGGGCGAGAATGAGATCCAAATCTTCGCATAATAAGAGCAAAGCATGCAGGGGTAGCAGACAAGTTCTCAGGTTGCGTTATTTTACGAAAGAAAGGGATGATCACGTTTATAAAGCACGAGACAGCTAGAGCATTGATACTAGAACAAGTCAGTAAGCAAGCAAAAATACAGGATGACCACTGTTGATATAACTTTTATCGAGGTTTGAGCGTTAGCGCGAGAGTACCAAGGCATCAACTTTGTGGATAGAGAGAAAGAAGCCTGAAGAGGCCTAACTTTGTCACTACCACCCTAGGACTTTACACTTTGATAGTATGTATTGTGTGATGCCAAAAGTTTCCTGAGAGGTTAGTTAATCTATATTTACAATAGGTAGACTCCTAATCTACTTCTCGCTAAATATGAGTATAACTATACGTATAAACTAGAATAGTCATTAATAGTCCTTATACGCCGTCTAACTCAATGCTCTTACTATCCTATTGCTCGCGTGCTCCTGGCTGTATCTCTTGAACTGCTGTAGTAGAATGTTGAATGGCGGCGCAGTTCTCGAACGTGGGGGATTTGACGTTAGAGGATTCAGCGGAGAGTCACTAATTAGCCAACTTTGTACACAGATCTGCTTCTTGCTGATCCCTACTCTGGAGGACTTCCTTGCTTACTTGAAGGCAACCAGAAGGAACTCGACCCCTGTTTCAAGACTTGTTCTGGAGTGAATCTAAGATAGAAAGTCCAACCGTACTCCACTGTCCTAGCACCTTGAGGTAGGCAGAAATACCTCATTACAAGTCCATGTCTTCAAGCAGCTTGACATGAATAGTCATAGACCCCCTTTGGAGCCTAGGAGCATGTGGCAGTCGCGGGCGCACAAGGGATACACTCCCGATGTGATGGTGGCCGATTTAGATGAACAAATATGGAATGTTGCGGTACGTTTCGGAGGGCAACAATTACCTTGCTCATGCACGTGGAGGCCAAAAGGGAACACCAGATAACGATCGGGCTGTACTCCGTGCTTAATAGAGTGGACTTTGTCCCATCACAGAGATAGAAAGTTCATGTAGGGAGGACACTATGCTTTTCCCACCACGTTCTGGAACAACCAATGATGTAAGGGAAAGGGGAATCCACCATGAAGGAAACAGGAGATCGTACAGGTCCAGGAAGGGATTCGAGTCACTGGTGTTTCATTGGTTATATGAAATCCGCTTCTCGTCGTTCTTTAGGATACCGAGTACACATTGAGATCCACTACAAACTAGGAAATGGTGCCTTTGTGATGCGGCTAGCAAAGTCGCGGGCAAGGCCACTTGATCATCTCCTTTGTGCGAAAACTCCAACTTGTATCCACATCAATCATACCGATTTCTACGTCATGGCTAGTATACAATTAAGCGGTTCGAACTATTTCGTCCCTTGTAGTGACTGGAAACTGCTCAACTTGCGTAAAAGCTCCACAGCGAAGACCTCAACGGCGACTTCGCTCTATCCCACATTACTCAGTGGTGAATCTTGACCTCTCCAGAGTCTATTTCCGTTTTCAAACCCGAGCACCCCCCATTGAACCTGAGGCACGACTAAGCCATTACTGAGCTGTGGCTGTGTAATCCGGAGGTAGGCTTGGCGGCTGTGGGGGGGATCTAAGGGGCATGATTGCAGCCCTAATCTAAGCGACGGGCGGAAGCACCTGTTGCGTCTAAGTAAATTACGATGCCCTTGTAGCTACTGTATTAGGGACCACCCCGGCCTTCAAATACTCGAAAAAGGCGCCGCGTGGCTTTTAGGCCCAATGATAGTTGCTCGTAGGCCGTTTCGATATCCAATTGCGTGCAATTCCTAGCTGCCTCCAGTCAATTCTTCCACGGAAAACGCAACGTGTACCGGTGCGTGCGAGGGCTGTGTCCATCAACAATACGCCAAGCAAAGGCTGCTCGGGAGGTTGGGCGCTGCGGGTCGGGCGCTTCAGGTCGATGCTTCCACCCACTCCAATCGGACACCATACTTCCTGGATCGCCGATTTGGTCAGTCCAATTATGCTCCCGCTTCTTGGCGCCTAAAGCGATAGGAGACGTGCCCGCAGCTCGACAGCACCCCTTTCCTTCCTCCACTCGCCTTCATCACAGCGCTTTTCGACAAAACGGCCTCGTGTGAGCTAAGACTAACAGCTATGAATTGATCACGATCGAACTCTACGACGGCCTGCCGAGTAAGACTCGCATGTATATCCGTCTGGCCCGTCAGGAACTTTCTCGATGCCAGTCGTCGGTTTCCAGCTGGCACCTGAAGTCGATGAAAGATCACATTCGAGAGCGACTTGCTGCCTCCCCCAGCTGAAGATGACGCGCGCAGCGAGAATATGAGGCTCAGCGCCGTAGATCAAACAGACAAGCCTTGCCAGTGATGAGGCTCCGCCCTTCCTAACGTCATATCTCTCTTGGCCATTAATTCCATTCTGATTTTGGTATAATGTACCGCTCTGGGCTTGGCAGTATCTATGTACATACAGGTAAGGCGCCCTACTAAACTCGTGGTTGCCCATTTAATGATGATGCCCAGCACGAAGACGGCACAGGCCTATAAGAAGCGCGGCTTGCCATATCGACGGGAAACATGGACTCTTTCAATCTTCGCTTCATCCTCGTTGACGTTGCTATCAAAATGCCACTCACTCTCGCTGTGTCGACTTTAGCTCTCTGTGCTACCACGTGGACGGCAGCGCAGGCGGCCGCGCAGAGAATCAACTTCGAACCTTGCCCTGGGCTCAATGCGAACATCAGTGCCCTTACGGGAATCCCAGGAACCCCTTTCGACTGCGCGCAGCTTTTGGTGCCCTTGGATTACACCAATTCCCAATCCCCGAGCCTTAATCTCAGTCTATTTAGAGTCAACGCAACGGAAGAACCAGTCCTTGGAAGCGTGCTCATCAACTTTGGTGGCCCTGGTGGGACAGGCGCCGAAAACCTCCCTGTGGTCGCAGAAGAGGCCCGTAAAAACATTGGTGCGCAATGGGACCTCGTCTCCTGGGACCCTCGAGGGACGGGGTACACCATTCCATTCAATTGTAGCATTGCAACCATGGTGGCTACGGACCCGACTGCTCAGAAACGTGATCTCGGCACCTTGGCTGGTATTAACCTCACCGAGGTCTTCCTCACAAGCGGCTGGGACACTGCCGGTCAGACTGCCGACTTTTGCTTCGAGCAAGTGGGCCACGAGACAGGAACCTTGATCGGCACCGCTTTCGTGGCTCGAGACATGATGGAGATCGTAGACGCCCTAGGCGAGGATGGCCTTCTACGCTTCTACGGCTGGTCATACGGTACGGCTCTCGGCTCGTACGCTGCGGCCATGTTCCCTGAACGTATTGAACGGATGGTGCTCGACGCGAACCTAAACCCGCATGACTACCAGTCAGGCACCTACCGCGACTTGACAACAGACACGGATGAAGCCTTTGCCGGTTTCCTAGAGGCGTGTTTCAACGTTACAGATGACTGTGCGTTGTACTCACTAGTACAGCCCAACACAACACAAGATCTACTCGATGTCCTTAACAGCGTGCTGAAGCCGCTCGCTCAGAACGCCACTTTAAGCGCCGAGGCTTTCCAGACCTACTTCGCCTTAAAGAGCATCTTCATTGAGCCGCTTTACTACCCGACGACATGGCCCTCGTTCGCCCAGACCCTCGTGAACCTTCTAACTGAGACGCCTAATCCAAGTGAGAGCGACCCTTCGCCCCCAGTCTACGGCGAGGCCGAACTAGCCCTACTCGGCATTCGCGCCAGCGATGCCACATTTCACGCGAACTCTAGCGACGAGTACCTCCCCATCGTTGAGTATACGTCTCAAGTCAGTCCTAGCTTCAGCGATCTATTTAACTCGCTTTGGCCTTCAGCACGCTGGAGGATGCCGGCAAAGGAGCGCTACTGGGGCGACTTCCAGGCCACCACGAAAACCCCAATTCTATTCATTAATGGTATGTTCGACCCGGCCACGCCAATCGTGGGCGCCTACAACGCAAGTGCCGGATTTGAAGGCAGCGTCGTGCTGCCCCACAGCGGTTATGGCCACGGCATTTTCGTGAGCCCATCCGAGTGCGTAGCGGAACACATTCGGGCCTACTTTCAGAATGGCTCATTACCCAGCGGCAATGTCAGTTGCGCGCCGGACATGACCCCTGTCGAGCTGTGGAGGAGCATCGTGCAAGAATCTACTGGCAACTCTACTTCGGAGTCCAATGGTAATAGTACTACTAACGGCAATGGAGCTGCGGAAGATGTGGAGGGTGGAGCAAGCGCATGGAAAAGCAGCCTGACACTCGCAATTACGGCCGGGGTTTTGGCTGTTGCTGTCGCGAATGTACTCTAATTTGTAGACCTAGACCACGATACTTACATGAAGAATCTTTACCCTACCAAAGCCCATTTCTGTTTTCAGGCACAAGCTGATGTACTATGGAATTGCACGTGGCTGGTTTGGCCAGTTGCAAGATGTCTCGACATTAGTATGTCTTATTACCAAGACCGTACAGTATTAGCAATAACGCAGGAAAATCCGCTCGCTGCTGATTCGAAGCTGGGTTAGACGAGCTACATCAGATTCAAGAAAACGTGGCCCGCTTTTATCCTTAGCTTCTGCATGAGAAAGGTGCAATGTGTCTGCAAAGGGGAGGGCGGTTTCGGGAACCACTGTACCTAGCGGATGGACGGAAAACGACTGTACGGTTTGGAGGAGATCGACTGAGAGAGCCTGAGGCCGGAATTGAAACGAAGCACAAACCCAACAGACGCGTCCGGGAGGCCAAAACGCCTGACGAGCGTGAGGCGCTTTAGCGTCGGCTGCTCCCGATTGGACAATGCCAACCACACCTAGAACACCAGCAATACCAGCAACAACAGCAACATCAGCAATACCAGCAGCAACAGTAACACCAGAAAAACCAGCGACACCACTACGAGCTCCGTCGGGAAGAACAAGGAAACCCAGCGCGAAAGCGGCTCAACTGACCGCTGAAAATGACTCTGACCCAAAGACAATTTCGGTGGCTGCGGATCGAGATGAACCCTGGTCTCCCCTGCGCGAAAGCCCCAAGGAGACGAGGGGAACCTTGTATTGGACTTGAAAAACACCCTCACAATTTAAAATAGTACCCTCCGCGAGATACGGGACGAGTTGCTGCAGGTGAAAAGCTAAAATATTGAACTCTACAGCACGGTCCTATCTCTCGAAACTAAACTCGAATAGACCACC